ATTCACTACCAATTATGCTGAAATTTGAAGAATGCAAACCTGGTAAAAATGGATGAACAGATGATGGGTTTGCTCGATTCAGCCCTCAATCTTCTCCAGATTCATTCAAGAACCACTCCTAAAGCTTTTCCAATGATCAATTTGCTTTGAAATCCCCTTAATCTCCAATCACAATTTCTGATGCAGCTTGAGAATTTTCAATGGCTTGCTCTGGTTCCTTGCTCAATTCCTCCCAAAAATTGATCTGAATCAGTTGCAAATGTTATATAGAAGTTGTTAGAACTCTCTATAAACTTCTGTAACAACCACAATGAGATTTTGAGTTTCTCATTCTCCTTGAAAATCTCATATGCATAGCTCATGTACAGCTCTGTTCTTGGCCTTGATTTCACCTGAATTTCTCACCTTATGACATTTTGAATTGAAAGGGATGTGTATCTTCCTTGTTTTTGGTCCCATGGATGTGAATTGAAGTGTTGCTTCATCCTTAAGTTACAAAAGGGAACCACATGTAAATGACCTCAAATGCCAAATGTAATGTTGCCATCACTTTTAGAATGTCATTTCTGATCAAAATGATATGCAACATGACCTTGTTTGACCATAAAACCAAGAATTCCATTTTTTGGCCTTTAAATGACTTATTTTCTTCCTTTTTAAGACATTTCAAGAAACTTCTTGTTACAAGCCAATGCAAGCTCTCATAACCACTTGGTTGCACTCAAAACACCATTTTGAACAAGTTTCATGTTGAACAATTTTCCATTTGAAGCTTGCAAGTGGGAGTTATGGACCTATGATCACAAATGACCTATAATCACCAATACCCAAAATACCCCTGGCTTACCAAGATCATAACTTGAGTTCTACAAATCCTATCAAGGACTTCTAGTACTCTATGGAAAGCTAAGATCAATATCTACAACTCTCATGTTCACCAAAAATCCATTTGAAAACTCCTTGAAGGGCAAAAGTTGCTTGCAAGTCAAGTGACTTTCATAGGTAAATTTCATAGTCCTCTGATGACCTGTAATTTGCAAAGACCATAACTTGAGTTCTACAAATCTTCTTGAAGACTTATAGTACTCAAATTAAAGGTATTGAGATGCTCTACAAGTTTCATGTTCGCCAAAGATCCATTTGAAACTTGTATTTTGACTTATGTGGCTTTGAAGTTAGGCACTAAATAGGGGATTTTACACTAAAACCCTAATTTAGCAACTTCCCACATTCTTGATTCTTCTTTGCTTGATCTTGGCACAACACCACACATGTATCAACACATAAATCCATGAACCCCATGACCTCAAAGTAGGCTTTGATGCTTTTCAATTACACAATTGAACTAGGGTTGACCCAGATGAAACCCTAGTTGACTGCACCTCAACTTGTGGCTCTTGTACTTGAATCAATGACTTGTCTCATATTCAATAGGGCCCTCTAGGCACTCCATGAGATCCATACACACCTCAAATTCACAATCCATGTTTCCCATCCCACTGATGATTCTCAATATTCCTCAAGATAGGAGCAAAACCCATATGTAGGCACTCAAACTTCTCAAGACTTCCAATCATTTCCTGATGGCTTGGATGATCTCTCAAACTTGGATAACATCTCTTGCTAGGCTCTTCTCTTGATAAACACCCTTGATCCCTGTTGGATGAATACTGTGCTATGATATGAAAATGATTGAACTATGTACAATGATGTAACTATGCAAATGAAATGCAATGAAACACAAATTAGGCAAGAAAAGGTTGAGCAAATTTTGGGGTACAACAGGTGAGGCGATTTGAAAACAGGTGGAGTCAAAGGGTGGTTGAAAACTCATACTTGTAGGCTTGTTAAATTACCTAGGAAGAAAAGGGTAATTGGGAACAAGTGGATGCAAATTGCAAGATCAAGATTCAAGGGTTGCTTGAATTTTATCAAAGTTATTGATTAAAGTTTCAACTTGGTAGAGAGCAACAATGTTGTTGATTGTTAAATTGATATCAACACGGTTTAAAGTCAAGGTGGAGATTGTTGTAAATGTGCCTTAAAACCTTTGTTGATGAAGAGAAAGAAAACATATTTTGGAGATTGCATTTTACCGCGAAAAATCAGAAGTTTTAGAAAGTTGGACGAAAAATTGAGGAAAAAAAATCGGTCGGTGAATAGTTTCATCTGTACGGTGAACAGTGATACCCGTACGGAATGAATAGTAACGTCCGTACGGTGAATAATATTTTTGAGTTTTCATACTATTTTATTCGGACCATGGATCCATGCAATATTTGGGTTTTGTTTGTTGGGTATTTTCTATTATAAATATGCATCTCTTATATGTTTGGTGTATGAAAATTTTAGAGTTTTCACCAACAGGGGGAGACAATGGTTTAAATGCATAGCATAATGGTTTCAACTATGCACAAAGAAAAACCTTAGATTACGCCTTGGGTTTGAGTGATTCATATATTGAGAGTTGGAGAGGTAGGGAAACACTTAGGTAGAAAAATATGGTTGTTTTTGGGCGCCTTCAGAGTTGTTCTTTGGAACCTGAAGGCGAAGGCTATTCTCTTGTAACTCATCTGTAATCTCTTGTAATAATTTTTTTAGTATAGTGAATTAGAGAGTTGTTCTCTCCCCCATACTAGATCATTTGATCGAACTGGTAAACAAACTCTTCAATTTTTTCTTCTCTTATTCTGTTATATTATCTGTGTACGAACTATTATTGCTAAAGACCATTTATTTTGGTTGCTATTGTTCTTTGCCTCATAAATTGATATTGAATTTTGTCGTAATTCACAAGAAGATTCACAACACACCTAAATACATTGTTGGACAAAAATTAAAATGAATCTAAACACGTGTCATCGCCTAAATCTATATCTATGGGTGGTTCTGCCTTTGACTTTTATTTATGTGTTTCTCTTTCAATCTCACTCAATTTGGTGAATTCTTACATCCTATCCATAAAATGATTCGACCAAATTTCAGTTTCCTTTGTTGAATGAGATGTTCACTTCGATGATGTCAGTGACATATTGAATTCCAATTTCAAATAAACTTGAACAAAATGCAGTGATTTAGAAATTCATCCAATACACATAATTCTTGTTTCATAAATTTGAAAGTGCACATCCGAATTTGTCAGAGTTGTTAAATAAGCACAATTTTTGATGGAGTGTGTCCAAAGATATATTTTCGGACCAAAATTTTAAAAAATAGGTGTGTGTCTCACTTAAGACGTGTTTTGGTGAGATATGAGTGCATTCGAAAATGTACTTCTGAATTTTTAGAGATATTTTTAGATTTTCATAGTGTTTTTCCACCACTTAGATTGAAAAAAAACAATTTCAAAAAAATCTAAGTTGGAAGTGATGATGGACCATAACAATAAGTCTAAATTGAAAGTGATGATGGGGTCATAATAATATTTTTGAGAAAGCCCAACTAATTTAAGCCCGTTAATAAAAATCCCCACTTTCCTAACCGCCAACGCTGATTAATAACACGCAAAACATGATTACGTGGCAAATTACTATTGGTCACATTCGCGTGGACATACATCACAAATCCAAGTCAAATTTTATTTCCTTTTATATATCTGTTACGACTAAGTAAACTCTAACCACAGTCGTTTAAATCTTCATTCACCAAACACGACGAGATCACCGTCTCAGATCACCGGCGCCGACGACTCTCAGTAACCGGAATTCCCCATTCAGGTTCGTTTCTCAAATTTTGTTGTTCAATTCTTCAATGGGATAAGTAATATTGATTTGTTTGTGTATTTCGAGTTTCATGCAATTAAGATTCTAGATTATAGACTTAGGACTAGGGTTTTGAGATTTTGAATTTTGCTTGTAGTTTTCTAACTTTCAATGAGTTAGTCAAATTTAATGTGTTTCAGAATTGGATCAAAGTTTCTGATGTTATGAACTAGGGTTTTAAATGCTAAAACATGTTTTGAATTGTTGCTTGATTTGAATTCGAGGTAGATATTATTTTCCTGTTTTCAAATTGTTGGAAGCTAAAGTTGTGTATGTATTCAATTTTGACAAGTTATTGTATGTGGGTTAATGGCGGTTTGAATACAATTATCAAAAAGACTAGAACTACACGTGGATAGGAATTATTTGAAGAAATTTTATTCACGTCCTCGAATTGTGTTTGGATTTCTTACTATTGTTGTCAATTGTAGTTGAGTTCATCTTTAATAGTAATTGCAGAACAGATTGTGTTTTGAAAAACTTGTATTTATTACATGTATGAGATATCTTTAAAATATAGATTTTCCTAACAAGTTAAAAACAGAGTTTGCATGTCATATGTAAGTATATTAAAGTAGTTATTCGCGGCCAATAGCTGCACTATAGCGAAGCGGTGGCCGTATCCTATGGGAATAGCTATCCTATGAGGGATAGCGAAGCAGAGCAGCCCATAGCGGTTTCTGAACTGCCATCCTTTTTCCCTCTGAAAAATTGAAATGATCCCTTAATATTTATTATTAAGTTTGAATTTTGGGATGTAATGTTTTGTTTAAGATTTGTTGATCTTAATTAAGAGTTTCGATCAAAACTGGTTGATTTATGAATAATTTATGGGATTTGAGCGATTTGTTTAATTTTACATTCAATATACATCAGTGTTGTCAAATTGCGGCTACGGCAGTGCCATGGCTGGTGGTATAGCGGAAATTGCCGAAATTGCATTTTTTTTTTAATTTAACATTCCTGTCTTGGTATTTTTTTTACTGGACCAGTAAACAGGCCCAAAAATTATCAAGTTGTCTGGGTATATTATACATTCATAATTATTATATGTAATTTGTAAAAAAAAAATTATCAAATGTCATATATGCTATTCTGCTATCTCACATTTGGAGCCAGCCGCCCTGCCCTACCCCGCCATTCGGGATTGATTACTCTGGTTCATAATTAGGCACTAGGAATTCAATCTAAATTGGGTCATAGTTTTGATGTTAAGTATATGAATTTGCATTTCAGAAAATGGCTTTAGGCGGAGGAAATCCCCAAAGGGGAAGTGCAGCGGCTACCGCAAGCATGAGGAGAAGGAAAACAGCAGGTGGTGGAGCCTCAGGAGGAGCAGCTGGGACTATGCTTCAATTTTACACAGATGATGCTCCCGGACTCAAGATCTCCCCAAATGTAGTACTTGTGATGAGCATTGGTTTTATAGCTTTTGTTGCTGTTCTTCATGTGATGGGCAAACTTTATTTCAGAGAAGCTTAGATTTCTGTTGCTAGAATGATCTATCCCTTTGATATTGTATTTCTAAGGGATAGATTTAGCTTTGTTTATCTTTTGTTCCTAGAAGAGTATAAGATGTAAAATTTGATGGTGTTATTTTATGCATACTTAATTGTTGAAGTTGGAAAAGTAGCCTCGAAAAGATAGAAGACATGAGAAACACCATTCAATTTCAAACAAAGAAATCCAATACAATTTACACTTAAAATCGAATGGTTAACTAGCTTTACTTAAAATAGAATGGTCAAAAGTGTGGTAAAACAGGCTCGGACTCGCAAGGTTTTAGGCTCTTAAACCACTTCATCCCGTATTCTTTAGGCTTTTGCGAGCATGTATATTAAAATTATTTGCAACTTTTAGCTTTAATTGTTTTATTTCTGGGTTTTTGTGGACGAGATTAAACAGAACGAATAATATGTCTGTTTGTTGGAAAGTTCTCTACTTAAATTCTAACTGATATGTCATGCAATGAGATTACTAAAATATAGCAGAGATGATATGTTGTTTCAGACATCAATGCTATAAAAAATCATTATTTTGTGAATTTGAAACTCCAAATTGCTTGATTCCTAAGATTTCTCAGAAAAATAATGAGACATTCTTTTTGCTTAATAATAAAATACATGAAAAAGAAAATAAAGAGTTTATCATCATCATCACACTGAAAATCTGTCTAAATGCACATTATAGCATTTCCCCTTGTAGGCCATAACCAGATCATACATGAAAAAAGCTTCTCTCTCTCATCTTTAAATTCCTCACTTCACTCTTTTGTCATAACAACAAGAAGAAAATGAAAAAACCAGAGGTGTACTAGAAATGCCATGTTTCTTATTTTCTTATATACAATTCTATTTCATCTTCCATCATAAATCACATTCACAAACTTTTCTTTTCAATTGTGAGTCAAATACTTTCCATTCTTCCTTTGAAACTCTGAACTTTAAAAAAAGCTAAAAGTGAGTTTGCTCAACTTGTTTCACTTTGTCTATTTACTCTTTTTTATCCTCACATGCTTGTTACTTGTCTACTCTATTTGTTCATACAATAAATTATCAATTCTCCATTTTGTATCAGCCACATCTATGACCGCAATCGCTAAGGCTGATTCAAACAGAATACTGAAAAGAGATGGTAAAAAATTTCTTCCGACTCAACCAGAGGTTTCAGGTTTAAATCTAGCTTTGGGCAAGTAACAACATTAAACTCTCTTGAGGAAGAACTTTATTGTCTATTGTGGTCTTCTCCGACTCGAGTGATTAATCTCTACAGTTGCGCGCTGAATATATCTGATTTCTACTAAAATAAGGGTGATTCAAAAACTTGTTAGTACCATCCTTTTGTCCCCTCCCCACCACTCATTATTTTTTCTTGCACTTGAAACTTTCTTTTATGTTTGTATGCACCAAAAGTTTGTTGTTGATGTAATAGTTTGGTTCATAGACCATGCTTTATTGGGACCCCCTATACTTTTCTACAAAGTGCAAGAAAATGGAAATATCAATGTTCATAAGATCCTCTTCTAAATAATTCCCTACATTATACATATCAACCTAACAATGCAAGATCAACTCATCATCTTTTCTTTGTTTCTTGTTCTTTTTGTTTTGGTCCATCCAAGTGATCTCACTATACCAACCTTTCAATGAAGATATGCTAGGGTTGATTGTGTTCAAATCAAGTCTAGAAGATCCAAAAAACAAACTTTCTTCTTGGAATGAAGATGATTATAGTCCTTGCGATTGGGAAGGTGTAAAATGTGACCCTTCAACTAATAGAGTTTCTTCTCTTGTTCTTGATGGATTCTCTCTTTCGGGCCATATCGGTAAGAGTCTTATGAAGTTGCAGTTTCTTCAAATTCTTTCACTTTCTAGGAACAACTTCACTGGAAAAATAAACCATGATCTTCTTGTTACACTTTGGAATTTAAAAATTGTTGATTTGAGTGAAAATAGTCTCTCGGGAACAATTCCGGACGAGCTTTTTCGACAATGCTGGTCGTTAAGAGTTTTATCGTTCGCGAAAAACAATCTGACAGGTAAGATTCCCGAGTCTTTGAGTTCGTGCTACTCGTTAGCAAGTTTGAACTTCTCGTCTAATCATTTGAATGGTGAATTGCATTCGGGAATGTGGTTTTTGAAGGAACTTCAATCACTTGATCTATCGAATAATTTACTTAAAGGCGAAATTCCTGAAGGAGTTCAAAATCTATATGATTTGAGAGAGTTAAGGCTAGGGAGGAATTTTTTCAACGGTAGGATTCCGGAGAGTATAGGAAACTGTCTGCTTTTGAAGGTGATCGATTTCGGTGATAATCTTCTAACCGATGAAATTCCAGAATCGATACAAAGACTTACTTCATGCACATTGTTGAATTTGCAAGTGAATTTTCTCAATGGAAGCATTCCACATTGGATTGGCGAATTAAACAATCTTGAGACATTGGATCTTTCGTCTAATCGATTTTCGGGTTCGATTCCATCTGGATTCGGAGGTCTTAGAAGTTTGCAGGTTTTGAATCTTTCTACAAACAATATCTTTGGTTCTATTCAGTGAGTATAAAAGAGCTTAAATCTTTGTATGTTCTTGACTTAAGTGATAACAAGCTTAATGGAAGCATTCCTTTAGAAATAGAAGGAGCAATTTCACTTCTTGAATTGAAGCTTCAAAGGAATTTGTTAGGTGGAAGAATTCCAGTTCAAATTGCAAAATGTTCAGCTCTAAAATCTTTGTAAGTTCTTTATCAAACTTTACATCTTTCATGCTATTGTAGCTTAAGGCCTTGTTTAGATAAATAGTTTAATTTAGTGCTTATTGTATAAATGTTTTTCATAAAAGCTATAAGCTACTTTCATAACCTTTCAGAATGTCTGTAGCACTAACATCACTAAAAAAATTGTTTGTGTTTGTGTATGCGTCCGTGTCCATGTCACTGTATCGACATGACACTGACACTTGTTATTACGTTCAATTTGTTCATTTTTTCATTTATTATCTGTGTTTATGTGTCCGTGTTTTTGTCTGATGTCCGAGTCTATCTGTGCTTTATAGCTCACATGAGCTTATATTAGAAGATAAGCTTAAATAAGCCAATTCAAACACCTTCTTGAGTTTAAGAATCTATCATTGTTGCTAACTTTTACTATTTTTCTTGTGAATTTCAATGGAACAGGAATCTTGCACACAACAATCTTATTGGCTCAATCCCTACATCAATTGCAAACCTAACAAATCTTCAATATGCAGATTTGTCATGGAACAAACTCTCTGGAACTTATCGAAAAAGCTTACAAATCTTACACATCTTTCCTCATTCAATGTTTCATATAACCATCTTCAAGGTGAACTACCAATTGGTGGATTCTTCAACACAATCACTCCCTCATTTGTTCATGGAAATCATTGTTGTGTGGTTCTGTTGTTAACCACTCATGTGATCGGTCTTATCATCCGAAACCTATTGTTTTGAACCCTAATTCAAACTACAACAATTCAAGAACTTCAGTGCAAAACCATCATCATAAGATAATGCTTAGTATATCGGTTTTTATAGCTATTGGTGCGGCGGTTTCTATTGTTGTTGGTGTTGTTGCTGTTACTATTTTGAATATTCATGTTAGGTCTTCGGTTTCACATTCTGGTTCTCCATTTGGATTATCTGGTGGTGAGGATAATAATTTTTCGCCCGAAAAAGGTCCAAAATGCGGAAAGTTTGTGATGCTTAATGGCGAAATTGTTGAGTTTTCTGACGAGGTGAATAATCTTCTTAAAGAAGGTAATGAAATCGGCCGGGGAGGATTTGGAGTTGTCCATTGTGTTGTCCTTCGAGATCAGAATTTCGTTGCGATCAAGAAGTTTATAGGTTCAAGTTTGACAAAATCACAAGAAGATTTTGAGAGAGAAGTTCAAAAGCTTGGTAAGATTAAGCATCAAAATCTTGTGGCACTTGAAGGTTATTATTGGAATTCATCTTTTCAGCTTTTAATTTATGAGTATTTTTCTAGAGGGAGTTTGCATAAGCTTCTACACGATGATGATCAAAGCAAATTTGTGTTTTCTTGGAGAGCAAGGTTCAAGGTTATTTTAGGAATAGCAAAAGGTTTGGCCTATTTACATCAAATGAACATAATCCATTATAACCTAAAATCTACTAATGTTTTTATCGATACTAACGATGAACCAAAAATCGGAGATTTCGGTTTGGTCAATCTATTACCAAATCTAGACCATTGTGTTTTGAGCAGCAAAATTCAAAGTGCGCTTGGATACACGGCTCCCGAGTTTGCGTGTCGCACGGTTAACATAACTGAAAAATGCGACGTATATGGTTTTGGAATTTTGGTTCTAGAAATCGTGAGCGGAAAAAGACCCGTGGAATATATGGAGGACGATGTCGTTGTTTTATGTGATATGGTGAGAAGTTCATTGGAGGATGGAAAAGTTGAGCAATGTATCGATGAAAAACTTGTAGGCTATTTTTCGCCCGAGGAGGCAATTCCTATGATTAAATTGGGATTGTTTGTGCGTCGCAAGTACCTTCGAGTCGTCCCGATATGGATGACGTTGTTAACATATTGGAGACGATTCAATGCTCTTCGGAAGGACAACAAGAGGAAATACAATGAATTTTGAAGTATAGAGATAAAACTTGTATTGTACTAATATTTTGTGAAGTAAAGTTCAGTTTGCTTGCTTTTGAAGTTATATATATAAACAAAGAATTTATATTTAGTCAATTTTGTTCTCTGGTTCTGTTTGTTTTGAGTTTTCATTACTTGAAAGTTTCACTATATATTTTTTCTTGTTAATTTTGTTCATTTCAATTTGTATCAGCTACCATTTTAGGTCTCACAGATAGCTCATATCTTAAATTTACTAAATAGAGCTTAGATCAATATGAAAAAAAGTATTTTGAATCTAAAAAGTGGCAAAATGTCCCACAAAAACATGTAAAAAAATAAGGTGGAGCAGATATAATTGAG